GGACCTTCTTTTGTCTAGTAAATCTTATGTTCTTATGTCTTATTTCTTCAATACGATGTTGAAGGAATCTTGGTTTATATTCCATAACTCATTGTTTTCTTAAGGAACTGAGCTCTGGATGAAAATCAAGTTTGATTGTTATGACAATGTACCGCTGGATCTAGATGCTAATGTCAGCTCCATTAATGAGCTAATAAGCAGTTACTGCTACTTCCAGCAGTAAGCATGGATGCAAAAGTTTTGCAAGGCAAACATGCAAGTACATTACCCACCCACAGAATATGCTTTTGTGCATATATAATGGCGTCAATCACCAGAAAGCAAATAGCACCACCTAGCACTCAGAGACAGGGAAGTGAATAGATTTGTTGACTTGTTGATTAGGGGAATGGATTTATTACTGAAATTTGACTACTTTAACTAACTAAACAGCCCAGTATATCCATAACAAAGTGTTTTAATAATCAGGAAATTCATAAAACCATCTCCTTTTGGAATCTATAAAGTTCTAGAACTAAAATTCGGTTTGAATTCCTTCAAGATCTAATGATCAGCACTTTGAGTTAAAAGAATGTACAGGTCCACAGTATTGGGGTCTTTTAAATAAAAATCACCTCAAATGTATTTCTAATTTGAAACATAATGAAAAGATTACCGGTTTCAGTGATAGGGATTCACACTATGTTTCTGTCTCTGATGCCTTTCCAAATTTATATTCAGAGGGTGAATTTTGCTCTTATCAAAGTGTCACTAATAATGGTGGAATTATTTCTGAAGAGAGATTTGGGTGGATCAGGACCTTTGACCCATTCAAACTCACCCGTAAAATTTTAAAAAATCCATACATTTCATAAATAATACTTAACAGAAGGCCTACAATAGGCGACAATCCATTGCCCATCACTTTAACAAGAAAAGTCACCCTCTGAATATAAATTTTTAAACATAAGACCTTAGACATCAGGAGAATGACTCAAAGCGCTTCACATAATATATTATAAAGTGTGATGACTGTGTATTTCGTAGGCAAAGGCAGCAGCCAATTTGGACACAACAATGTTCCACAAATAGCCATGAAGTGAATGACTAATTTTTAATTTTGTTGGCCCGGTCACCGGGAAGAAATTCCCTTCTCTTTTTGAATAGTGCCATGAAATCCTTAATACTGAGCAAAGGCAGCAGCCGGCTTGGTGAAGTAGGTTTACAAAGGTAGGGTTGGGCGAGACCGTGGCAGGATTAGAACGAGAATCCTGAACTCGCTCTGCTGTAGGATAGGGAGCCAGTGGAGCTGAGCGAGAATAGGGGTGATAGGTTCACGGAGCCTGGTGTAGAAAAGGACATGGGTGGGGGCTGCCGAGTTCTGGATAGTCTGCAGCCTTGTGTAGGGAAGTTCAGCAAGTCCAGAGTGTTGGCATAGATCGTGATTAACAAATAGATGGGCCATGAGGAAGAATGATTGGGGTTATAGATTAGTTGTTTATGCAGACATGATATAGCACCCTTTATGAGGGGTAGCATTTTGGAGAACTGGAAACTAGTGGAAATAAAAGATCTCCACTTACTCTCCCCCAGGTATCAACTGGCAATAAACTGCCCCAATCCTTCTCAACCTGAAACACCATCTGAATTGTGTACCTTGTGGTAACACAATTGAAGAGCTGCTGCTAATACCATGAGTCCACACAGATGGGACCAAACAAATACTATCCTGAAAAAAAAACAGTGTTTGGGGGGAAAAAAATCAGGTCAAATTAAATCAAAATGACGATCACATTCCTGAGAACCTGGCAATATTTTAATCTTAAGATCTGTGTGAGATTGTTTAAGGAACTGTTATTTCTTATCCATACATCAGTAAATTGTTTTAAGAAAGCAATTCAACAAAAAGCACGGGTGTCATGTTCTCTGAAATCTAATGCAAATTACTGAACTTTACTGCAAACTAAGAAAATATTATCCAATGTCCTACCTATGTTATAATTGTAGCTCTATTCGATTCAGGGCACGATAACCGGACTAAATACAATATCATTTGCATTAAAGTGTTCATTGGAGCAAGGAATACGCCTGACAAACTGTTTTGCAACAGAGCCAGGAAAACTGTTGCTGATCAGGAGGCTCTCTATAATGTCTTGGGAAAATTATAATCTACTGTACGAGATCTCTGTCCGATTGAGGGCAAGATAACTCAACAAACTGTGCCCTATGGAGCACAGAATGCCTGTTCATGCCAAAAACTAAATTTTAGTGTGAGTATTAAAAGCAATCTTAGCCTAATTGATTACTTATTCCAGGATTAGATATATTTGCTTGGTGTTTGAGTAATTACATCTCAAATGAAAGAAAACCCATCCTTTATTAACACTTTTAATGTTGTTGTTGTTTTCATCACTGAGCATCACTTAGTTTTCAGTGAATGATCATTATTTTGTGATAGTTCCATTTGTGTTCCATTGGTTCTATAGGGGTTGGGATCCAGTTCCATGAAGGTTGGGAGTTCTTGTAAATCTTGTCCATCTTTTACAACAATGGACCTTTCTAAAAACATTCTCACTGCTTGTCTGGCTAGAGCCACCCTGACGGTTAGGGCTTGCCTGCAACAACAACAACAACAAGATTCCATTTATAGAGCGCCTTTCACGTCGGGAGGACGTCCCAAGGCGCTGTGACAGGTCTGCCCTTCCAAGACTTGCTGATGGGCCAGACTGCTGATCTGTCATCGGCTGTGCCCTGTAGTAGTGTACACCAGTCTGGCTCAGCAACTGGACTTCTATGAATCTGTTTTAAACACTCATGGTTGCTTGTGGAAGTCTGCTGTGTGCAAATGCTGCCATGTTGCCAACAAAGACAGTCACTACACTTGACAATAGATAATTGTAAAGTAATTTAACATATTTTGATATATGTACCTACATTAAAAATGCACGTTTCTTTCCTTTATATGTTCATGAGGAACAATTCCCTAAGAAATATGAGGCAGAACACCAAAACAACAACAACAACTTATATTTATACAGCACCCTTCCTGTGGGTCAATGTCTCAGAAGACTTGACGTCAGAAACTGAGCAATGGAGGATGTTGAAGATATTGAACTTTATTTAAACTTTGTTGAGTCAGCAATGTCACCAGTGCCAACGTTTTAGATGGGAAAAGAACTGAGCATCTCCTAGAAGGTCCATTAGCACCCTGATCTTGGGAATAGTGAAATGGGCTTGATACTGGACATGTGCAGACTCTGTTACAGTGAGTAAGTAACTCACTGTAACAGAGTGGAACCTCTATGTTCATCTTTACAGCCTCCTGCTGTAATACTCTATTATTTCAAATTTCTGTTTTGAACACATGACAACAACAATCAGTTCATCACAATGCAAAAAGTGACTTACCTTTCTCATTGATTTCTCGTCAAAGATCCTCTCACTAAAGTCTACATTAAACTATCCAATAACACAAGGATTGTGATCTCCATCTCTCCAGCATGGTATGACACAAATACACATCAACATTAGCATTTTGTGAACAGAGATTCCCCCACTAATCACAGGATCCACATGCATAAATTTGCAAGACTTGGTGAATGTGTCACAACAGTTTGGGTGATATTTGCAAAAATGATCAGAACAAGTTACCTGCAAGAAGTTATGACATAAATAGAAGCAATGGGTTAAATGGTCTGCCCTGCTGAAAATGTCTTTGTAAGAGAAGAAACTTAAATTTCTATAGTGTCTATCATTTGAAACATCTCAAAGTATTTCACAAGTTTAGTGACTGTTTACATTAGGTTCTATCCTTAATTGGTCTCATAGTTCTCACAGCATTGTGGGAACTAGCATCTGCACCATTAGCAAAGTGAGGAACATAGGGACAAGAAGAGATGCTTTACCCTGGTGAGGCTATTACAATATTTTATTACTTTATCGGAGATCTTCTTATCCTCCTTATCTGTCTGTCTGTCTGTCTGCCTGCCTGCATGCCTGCCTGTCTATCCTTATCCTTCTTATCTATCAGAGATCTTCGTTCCTCCGAGTCTGGCCTCCTCCTTGCCCCCCGAGTCCTCTGCTCCACCCTCGGTGGTCGTGCCTTCAGCCACAATGCCCCGAGGCTCTGGAACTCCCTTCTTCACTCACTTCACCTTGCCCCCTCTCTTCCTATTTTCAGGTCTCTGCTGAAGACCTTTTATTTCGACCAAGCCTTTGGTCACCTTCCTCCCCCTCCCCCTGGCTCGGCCCCGGGATCCGTTACTGTGAAGCACTCTGAGATGCCATGGAGGGCGCTATATAAATCCAAGTTGTTGTTGTTATCCCATTTTTCCATTTCTTCCATTTCCCTTACTTCCCAAGTAACCATCTACTTCTCTTTCAAATTTCAATGACCTCAATTCATTCTGTATCTACAGCCTCCTTTCATTGCATTGCACATTTCTCGCAACCTTCTGAATGACAAAATGTTTTCTGAACATTACTGAAGTTATTATAACTTCAAATAGTGCAGAAGTATGTAAATATTAACCGGTACTTGAAGTATGTGTCTATCAGCTTCTATTCCTTAATTTCACTCAATAGTGTGAAAGAAAATTCGCCACATTGGAAGGAACCTCCATCCAATGACTATTTTTTCATTTCATGTCAATGTTATTACACGCAGAATATTTTATATTATTGGGTCTGTTATTTTTACAAGAGAAAGAACTGCAAATTCCAACCCAAGATATAAGGACTGAAGGCAAAATACATTACGGCTTTCTCCCAAATTGCTCGAGCATCCTATGAATAGGTTCATCCCACTATCTGAACAAAGTAATCATCATTCCCAGAATTATGGGAATCTGCCTCCAGTCATGCTCAAAGCCGGGCTTAAATAAACACAAAACATTAGTTTCAAGGTGATTGATTCTGCAGCGTGACCTGCATTGTACACTGAGCAGCCTGACACCCCAGGGAGCAAAGGGGAGGAGCCACGTCATGTTGTTTAAAAGGCTGAACTTCTGAAACATATTCAGAGAGAATCTGAGAGTCTTGAGGTGAGTGACAATCTGCCTCCCAGTGTTGGCGTGGGGGCTGTGTGGACACACACTGAGAAGCCACACTCCTCAAATATATACTCATTAGGTTGATAGTTGGGATGGGACATCTACAGCAGGCAATTTACTATCAGGACTGGGATTAATTTTACCATTAGGACACAAGACCTCTGATGGACATTTTGATGCACCAGCTATACTTTCAGGAATTAGGGTATCTCAATAGTTTAAGGAAAGTTACAACATCTCTGTATTATTAAAGTCTGCATTTAATTTTCAGTCTCCCTATCGTTAATTCCTTTCCACTCTCGGACCATAGCTGAATCCCCAGTAACTGTGAGCCCATCTCTAAATTGTCAGCTTGGCGTCTGACTCATGAATGAATGTGTTTCTTTCAGAAATGACACCTGTGTGGCTCCTGGGTGTGATCCTCGCTGGCTTTTTCCAGGCTCCGACTGATGGAGTTTCAGCAGGTAAGAGACTGAGCAGGAATCCCCAGAGCTCTCTGAAGTACTGAACCTTTCTGAATTGAACATTTCCTTTTTCAGTATCGACAGCTTAATGTAAATCTAATCTTTCCATTTTTTAATATATATAGTTAAATCAGGCTTTGGTATCAGTAGATATTCAGAATTAGAAAAAAAACATTTCAACAGATTTAATTCCAACAGGTTTCTGGCAAATAATTCAAAATAGTTAGCACAGAAGTTGTACTAAAACACGTTTTTCATATTTAACCGATTCAGAATTATCTGCATCAATCAATGGTGTTGTTAATCTCATGTGAAGAGTATATGGCAGAGAATAATGGACTAAAACTCCCACCTTCAGGAATATGTTGGAGAAAGTTAAAGTGTGCGTTCCCATTGGAACCTAATGCAGGTCTACAGGTGTACTTTTACTTTTGCTAACCTGCTGACTGTTTCTGTCACATTTCCTGTGCCATGGCTTGTCAGTCTGGTTTGTTCTCATAGTCTCCGCTTTAATACAGGATCAATCAGGCACTTGAAATAAAACTCAATCTTCACCAGTATGCCTCGTATTTTGGTGCTCGGAAGAACCGGGCTGACAGAGACTGCCACACAGCGATGGCATGCTCACCACCTGCTATAACTGAGCCATTAAGGGATTACACACAAATCACACAGCTGCCCAACTTTCCAGCACTGAAGAGACAGCCTCTCTTTTTAATATGCCAAACACCGCCCTCTCTGAGATGCCTACATTAAATCGAAGCCACTGGAGCAGTTACACAAGGTAGCAACTCTCGGCAACACTGATATATGTTTGCAAATTGATGCAAAGACCATTTTGGCCGCATTTGGCCCATCTTGCAATTAGTGAAGTGCGCACAAACATGATGCATTTGAATCAATATAAAAATAGTATGATAAAGCACTAATGGGATTTAACACCAAACTGAGTTTATAGTAACGCTGAGAGTCACATTCAGTGTAAAGCAGCTCTGAGAGACTAAAGTCATACAGAGTTTTCAGAGGCAAAATAGGTTTTGTAGAACAGTTGATCGAAAAAGGCAGCATGGCTGATCATACATGAGATCTAACATTTTATATAATTGTCTTAGAGGCCACTTCATAAATTGTGCCTTTGGTTACCTCCCTACAGTTGTTGCCCTTTGTTTGTGTGTTCTCTGTACCTTTGTAATATTGTCATTGTGAGAAAAGTGCAATGCAGTGAAGCCAGGATGACAAGTTCAGTAATGCAAGAACAACAACTTGCATTTATAGAGCGCCTATCATGTAGGATAACATCTTGAAGCATATCACAATGATGGAGATGGATAAGGGAGTGGGGAAGGGAGAGATGACTATAGGTGTGTTTGAAGAGATACGTTTTTATTATTAATAATAATAATCCATAGATTTGTTTTTCTCCTTTCATGTTGGGAGGACGTCCCTAAGTGCTTCACAGGATATGTTGTAAAATGACAATGTAACTTAAAATAATAATAATAATCCTTGCATTTGATATAGCGATTTTCACGTCGGGAGGACGTCCCAAAGCGCTTCACAGAACATACTGTAAAATGAATTGACTGTATATTTGTGGGCGAACGTGGCAGCGAATTGCGCACAGCAATGTCCCACAAACAGTCGTAGATTGAAAATGACCAATTTTATTATTGTTTTTGGTTTTGGAGGGATCATTATTAGGCTCTGTGTGGAGTAAGGAAACTTGCCCAAGGTTTGGCCCTCTGCCTGGAATTGAACCCAGGTCTCTCACTTGCAAAGCGAATGCTCTAACCACTGAGTTATCGGACTCCACTTGTGGGTGAATGCAGAAGCCAATGCAGCAATGTCCCACAAACAGTGAAGTGAATGAAGCAGAATTTAAAGACAGATAGAGAGGCGGTAAGACCAATAAGGGTGAGCGGGGGCGGGGGGAGTTCCAGAGGTTAAGGCCATAGTACCTGAAAGTTCAACCACGGATGATGGAATGGAAGGGTGAGGGTAGGAGTGGAGTAGGTGAGTAGAAGAATGAAGTAGGAGAAAATCACAGAGAATGCTCCAACAGAGAGTCAGCTTGAGTATTTTAAAGCATTACATTGCATTATATTTAAAATATTATTGTTTGTGTAGACTAGATTTATAGAAAGATTTAATCACATTAGGTAAAAATATTAGTCTATTCAGAGATCCAAATGTGCCCACAAATTCCTCCACCAAATCAGACGACTACTTTCTTGACATTAAACTGTGAATGACTTGCCATTGTTTCTTATTTGATTATAGAGCAAGATCTAGTGGAGAGGGAGTATATGTACAGCGATCAATTGTAGGTATTTACCGTAATATCACTTACTCTGTAATTTGATAATAATAATCCTTACATTCGATACAGTGCCTAATCACATTGTTGAGATGTCTCAAAGCGTTTCACAGAATATACTGTAAAGTGAATTAACTATATATTTTGTGAGCAATGTTGTAATAATAAGATTATTAGACCATGTTCTAATAATCTTACGTATAAACAAATTCTTTTAACTTCTCCCTTCGAGCCAGGTTATAGAGTATTGTGCTTGGAAGGTGGGGAGGGAGATCTCTCTATTTTGGATTTTATCTAGTCTCAGATTCAGAGTAAAGTTTCTTCTATTCTGTCTCAACAATAAATCTTAGCTCTAAACTTGGAAGTCTCTCTTACAGCAGAACAACATCAACAACAAATTGGTTGCAACAAACGGTTACTTTTTACACTTTATCACAAGCTCAATTCCAATTCTGTGACATATTATTTGTGCCAACCTACTGTCAAACCAATCTATCTACTTACAATCATATTTCATGTTCTGTGCAGCTAATTTATTCAAACCAGTTTAGTACTGAAATGATACACATGTGATCGGTGCTTCCCAATCTGAATTAATAATTGACATCATATTATCTTGTTAAGTGAAGCACTATGATCTGCTTCATCTGATGTTTCAATTAATTGGGAATCATGAATATTTTAATTATCTTTCTATTTGAGGGCATCAAGAAATTGTAGGGAATTGGGAGAGCAAGCAACATCATGAATACAATGAGTAAATAATGACTAAATAACCCTTCCATTTCATAAAGCACGTTTCACATCAGGAAAGCACTTCACAAGATATACTGTAAAATGCAGTGACTGTGTATTTTATAGGCAAATACTGCAGCCAATTTAATACAGCATTGTCCCACAACCAGCCTTGAAGTAAATAACCAGTTTTTATTTGGGGAAAATGGGCTGAATAACCTCTTACAGTGTTGTAGATGTCCATGATTCTTTAGTTCATGCGTTATCTTTGCCTTGAAGAGTTCTCATAAACTGAAGTTCCATTACTTGTTGCTTATCATTTATTTTCTTTGTTTTTACCAGAGCTGAAGCTACTCATGATAATCTGAAGAAACGAAAGATGTGTAAGTTCAATCATGCAATTGAAGGAGAGTAATATACTGAAAGGAAGGCCTAGCAATTTGACAGTGCATTCTCTTGTTCTCCAAATAACTGAAATATGATTTTCTGTCATTACAAGTGCCTTTGGGTGGTAGGTGAAAGCAGAGTGACTGCCACCACACAATCCTCTGCATATTTCATACACTGATTATCCTTGCAATACTTTGCATGACCCAGGTTCCCTGAATATTAGGTAGGTTGTTACTGTGTGTTGGTTACCTACTGAGAGAGGACGGAATCACTGCCTCAAGACTGTTACTAGTTGGTAAGATTATAGAAACTGGATCTGGTGCCCTTTTCTGTGTCTCTATCTCACTGGAGGTTTTTCCCTGGTGCCCAAAAATGGTTCATAGTCTTTTAGATGAGATGTTAAACTGAGGTTCAAGTGCATATTAAAGATCTCATGACATTGGTAAAAATGGGTCAAATACCTGTGAAGGTAATTATCTTGGGAAAAGTTAGCCTTTGCACTATAGCAAATTCAAGAATTCTTATTATTCCCGGCTCTTATGCGTTAGGACATCAGCAGTATCTCTTGACCAACCTCCAGGTTAGATATTGCATTCTCAAATAATAGCTTGTAACCAATTGCTCAGGTTCTCTCACAATGTGCAAAGCTATCATTAGTTCAATGATATCTGTGGGAATATTTTGGAAATGTTCCAATCCACAGAGGACCCTTTAGATCAGTGTATTTAAAAGGAATTGTGCAAATGTGAGGGAGAAGAGAATAGAGGCGTATAGGAGCGGAGAATAGAGGGGTGGTGGCTCATGTGGGGTATAAACATTGTTATGGATTAGTTGGGCTGAATGGTCTGGTTCCATGGGGGTAAAAGAACAGAGAGACCTGGGGGTGCAGGTAAATGAATCCTTGAAGGTGGCAGGACAGGTAGATAAAGCTGTAAAAAGGGCATATGGGATACTAGGCTTTATAAATAGGGGCATAGAGTACAAGAGTCAGGAGATTATGATTAACCTATATAAACACTGGTCAGGCCTCAGTTAGAATACTGCACCCAGTTATGGGCACCTCACTATAGGAAGGATGTTAAGGCATTGGAAAGGGTGCAGAGGAGATTTACGAGGATGGTACCAGGAATGAGAGACCTTGATTATGAGGAAAGGCGAGAGAGGCCAGGATTATTCTCATTGGAGCAGAGACGGTTACAAGGAGACCTAATAGAGGTCTTCAAAATCATGAGGGGATTTGATAGGTTAAAAAGGGAAAAACTATTTCCACTGGTGGGTGTGTCGGTGACCCGAGGTCATAGATTCAAAATAGTCTCTAAAAGAAGCCGAGGGGAGGTGAGAAGACAATTTTTTCATGCAACAAGTTGTTTGAATCTGGAACTCATTGCCTGAAAGGGCAGTCGAGGCTGATTCGATAACTACTTTTAAAAACGCGGTGGACGGGTATTTGAGAAGGACGGGTTTGCAGAGTTATGGGGAAAGGGCTGGGGAGTGGGATTGACATTAATTGCTCTATTCAAAGAGCCGGCACAAACTTGATGGGCCGAATGACCTCTTTTTGTGCTGTACGATTCTATGATTCTATAATTCTATGCTGTATCATTCTATGTAATCATGTACAACAATGCAATGAACAACTTGCTACTGTGCACATTGTGAGAATGAATATCTCAAACCCATGATGGAGACTTGGTCAAGTTTGGCAAGTTATTCACAATAGTTTCCATTTAACCGAATCTTACAGTTGTTGATGCTTTTTTTGCAGTTATAAATTGTGGTCCTATTCCTGCAATTAAGAATGGAGATTTCGTCTCTCATGGAAAGACAGTGCACTACAGCTGTAAACATGGTTTTAGAATGGTGGGCTCAGCAGATATAGTCTGTACACGCTATGGTCGTTGGAGTTTACTTACACCTCATTGTGAACGTAAGTATTTAAAAACTAAATATATTTGTAAAAAAAAACTTTACTGCCAAATTGTAATCATATCGACTTTTGAATCTGAAAGTAACCTGTGCAAAATAAATTGGGACCAACTCTGGACTCACTGGAATCTACAAATACAACAACTTGCACTTATATAGCAAATGTAAATACAACAGAATTATCAAAGATTTCTCACCTAATTCAGAAGATCATCCCTGAAAAAATAATAATAGCCAAATTTATAAAATAGAAATTGTTCACTTCAGAGTGAAAAAGACAGACACTGGGATCTGAAGAAACCACTAACTCGGGGGTTTGCAATGCCACCTGGTGGGCAATATTTTATCCAGGCATTAGTTACGGGACGCCATAATTGCTACTCCTATGTTCCACTTAAGAAAGGTACTTTTCAGATCTTTTTCTGGTCAATTCTGTGAAACTTTGCGAGAACTAGTTGCTGCATGTTTCTCCCCAAACATCCCAGTGATATTTCTGAGGCTCAAAATATAATAAAATAATTCTTGCACTTGATATAACACCTTTCATGTCAGGATGATGTCTCAAATAACTTCACAGGATATACTCTAAAGTGTAGTGACTGAGTATTTTATTTCATGATCTTAGCCTAAGACTAAACGTGAAGATCATGGATCATGGTGAGACCGCACCTAGAGTATTGTGTGCAGTTTTGGCCGCCTTATTTAAGAAAGGATGTACTCGCCTTGGAGGAGGTACAATGTAGATTCACTGGGTTGGTACCAGGGATGAGGGGGATGAGTTATGAGGATAGGTTGAGCAATTTAGGCCTATATTCTCTAGAATATAGAAGAATGAGAGTGATCTTATAGAAACCTATAAGAGTATTAAGGGGCACGACAGAATAGATAGTGGGAGACTTTTCCCCTGGTTGGAGAAACTATAACCAGGGGTCACAGTCTTAAAATTAGGGGTGAGCCCTTTCGCACTGAGTTGAGGAAAAACTTCTTCACTCAGAGAATAGTGAATTTATGGAATTCTCTACCCCAAAGGGCTGTAGATGCTCAGTCCTTGAACATATTCAAGACTGAGATTGATAGATTTCTTGTGGATAAAGGGATTAAGGGATATGGGGATAGATAAGGCGGGTAGGTGGAGTTAGAATAGATCAGCCATGATTTTATTGAATGGCGGGGTAGGCCCGGCGGGCCGAATGGCCTACTCCTGCTCCTAATTCTTATGTTCTTATGAGAGTTTTGGAAAATCGTTAAATTGAATTTTAATTTGTAGACCAGTTTTCTGCAGTTCTCAAAAAAGAATATATTAACCTGCTTCTAAATTAAGACTGCATTTCAGAAATTTAAACATTTCAATTTGAAATCGTTGATTTTAAGATTAACTTGGCTCAGCTAGCAGCACTCTCGCTTCAGTCAAACAGCTGTAGTTTCCAGTCCCATCAGCTCTCACTGTAGGTTGACATTGTAGCACAGTACTGCGGGAGCGCTATGTTACTTTGCATAAGACAATACATTGAAATCTCATCTGTCTATTTGAGGAGGATGTTAAAAATCCCATGACATTATTGAAAAAGAGAATTTGTTTCTCCTGGTATCCAGGACAACAGTACTACTGCATACAAATTAGTCATTCACTTCACGGCTGTTTGTGGGACCTTACTTGGTGTAAATTGGCTACTGCATTCACTTACCAATGACAGTTATTATATTTCACAGTAAAATCCTGCGAAGCATTTGAAGTCATCTTGACAACCTGATAAGACACTGTATGAAATGCAAGAATTATTATATACATCTAATAGAAGGATCATTTCAGTCAACAACAACACAACTTGGATTTATATAGCGCCCTCCACGCCGGACTGCGTCTCAGAGTGCTTTACAGTCACGGATCCCGGGACCGAGCCAGGGGGAGGGGGAGGAGCCCGGGGGAGGGGGAGGAAGGTGACCAAAGGCGCGGTCAAAAAGAAGAGACCTGAAAATGGGAAGGGAGGGAGTGAGACGAAGGGAGTGAGGAAAGGCAGTCCCAGAGCCTTGGGGCATAATGGCTGAAGGCACGGCCGCCGAGGGTGGAGCGGAGGGACACGGGGGACGAGGAGGAGGCCAGACCCGGAGGAACGAAGGCAACGGGTACTGGGCTGAGGAGAGAGGAGGTCAGAGAGGTCGGGGGGTACAGAGGAGTGCAGGGACTTGAATACGAGGGTGAGGATATTGAAATCGATCCTCTCTGGGATAGGCAGTCAGTGCAGTCTGGCCAGGACTGGGGGGATCGGGGAGCGGGGTTTCGTGTGGGTGAGAATGTGGGCACAGAGATAGACACATACACTCACACAGAGAGCCTCACAGACAGACAGAAGAATATGTAGCGAAGCCCGTTTCCTGGATGCGCTTCACCCACAGGACATCAGTTGGACAGCGCGCAGGGCTGCGTATAGCGGGGGTGGGGGGGGGCTGCGTATAATGGGGGCTGTGTATAACGGGGGCTGCGTATAGCGGGGGTGGGCTGCGTATAGCGGGGGGGGGGCTATGTATTTTGCACTTTTCTATCAGAGGCTCTGGGATGAGATGTGAGAGTCAGACACTGCGAGCAATGGCAAAGATTCCGTCTGTTAGTTCAGTGCTTTTGACGGATTATTTCAGGATGATCCAATATAATATTTTTGAACAATACAATGAGCCATTCACTGCTGTGGACATTGTGTATGAATCTCTCAAACCCTTGAGGAAACCTCAATCACCGTTGTTCTTGATGCAGTTTGTGTGTATTTTACGATTACTCTTATTTTGCAGGTTTTGCTTGTGGACCTGTACCTTTAATTGAACATGGAATTTGCCACATATCAGGACATTCAGCAGTGTTCAGCTGTAATGCGGGATATCGGCTGGTGGGACGAGCAACAATAGAATGTAAAGCTGGTCTGTGGGAGTCAACCTTTCCTTGCTGTCAATGTAAGAACTGCACTCTAACAAAGGACGTTTGCAAAAAGTGGGTGGGAGTTTAGTCATGGGGGGCCTTAGGTCTCAAAGAACCTTGTACAAAGACTGAACATTTCCAAATGTCACCTGCAAATTGGCTCCAGGAAACTGTATTTTCTCATAAATAAGGAAATTCTGTATCTTTTTCTCTTGTATTCACATTAACCACTCCTCATAACGTTTCATTAGAACATATTATCCAAATTCTAATCAGGTCAGGAAACATACCTTCATGCAGACATGTTTGTGAGTATGTTCCCAAAGGTTGTTAGATACAGAATCAATAGAGATATTTAAAATAGAAATGGATAGATACTTGGTCATAAAGGGAAATGGGATTAAAGGATCTGGAAATTGGAGTCCTGTAGCTCAGTGGTTAGAGCACTCGCCTTGCAAGCGAGACACCTGTGTTCAATTCCAGGCAGGGGGCGAAACCTAGGGCAAGTTTCCTTACTCCACACTCCTAATAATAATCCTTCCAAAACAGAACAATAATAAATTGGTCATTTTCAATCCACGACTGTTTCTGTGAACTCTATAACTGCAATATGCTGCTTACTCTGCATGTAACAGCTCACTGACACTAAATGATTACTGCAGGTCTTTCATTAATGTGCAAAGCTTCGATTGTCATAGATTATATATGGTTGAATCCACAAAAGGCTTTTTAGAACAGTCCATTCGCAAATCCCACTCACTGCTGTGGTCGTGGAGTAAAAATCTCTCAAACCCACGTAGAAGCCCAAGACATTAATTACATTTGGTGCAGTTTCCATGTATCTGACTATTACTCTAACTCAGGATGTTATTTTTTGTCTTTCAGCTGTTGGTTGTGGTCTCATTCCTGGTATAGATAATGGAAAATTCCTGAGAAAAGGCAACAAAGTGGTGTATTCCTGTAATCATGGATTTGTATTGTTAGGAGAACCACAAATACTCTGTCTGTCTAGTGGTCATTGGAATTATGGTCCACCTCACTGTCAACGTAAGTACTTTAACCATCTCTTTGTGAAAATAGCTGGGCAGAACTGCGGAGGATGACTAAAAGCCATACTCTCCCCAGCCAACAATTAATCTTTTCCCGTGGTTTTTCCCTGATGCCTTGTGCCTAGACCATGCACTAGATGGCAAACTTTTATCTTTTTGGCTCCTCTTCCCCCTTGTCAGCAGATCAACCCTGGAAAGTAAATATTTAGCAAAAAATGTATTTGGAGATTGCCCTGGGCATAAAATTTACAATACAAAAATCACCCGCTTCAACATTTTTTTNAAGAAGCAATGTAACTGTGATCTGAAAATTATGGATTACTCCTGGTCACTGACTCCCGATTGCAGAACTGATCAAATTGCAAGATCCTCACACTCACATACAAATCACTTCAGGTGAGATACCCTCGCACCTCCCCACTTATCTCTCCAACCTGCCAAGAGCTCCAGATTCCTCAAAGCCCTGAATTGTATTGTACAGGATAGGTATTGCAGCTGGGCTCCTGAGATGTCACAATAGAGCAAAACAACAAAATAAAATCCTGTTTCTCCTAACACTCCCTGAATATTCCGCAAGGGTTTTGGTTGCTGGGATTAGGTGATTGTTTGCCCTCAGTGGTACAGTCAATAAGTACCTCCCCTTTTATCAATAAGAAACCCAGATATAACAACTGTAAGGTGCTAAACAGTCACAGAGCTGGCAAGAAATTGTATAAACAACAACAACAAAACTACATTTGTAAAGCGCCTTTCACATCAGGAGGTGCTGAAAAGTTGGGGATCAGGACCCAAGCGTGGGTGGAGCAGGGTTGGCATGAGGGAAGGCAGAGAAGTAGGAGGGCGGCTGGAGGCACGGTCGAAAAGGAGGGTTTTGAATTGTGCCTTGAAGGAGGCAAGAGAGGGAGTGAGGGGAAGGGATTGTGGGATGGAGTTCCAAAGGGTGGGCGCAGAGAGACTGAAAGCCTGCATGCCGCTGGTAGGGTGGGTCTGGCAGGAGACATGGAGGAGGCCAGAGCCTGCTGAACGGAGGGAGCGGGTAGGTTGGTAGGGAGTCAGCAGGTCAGAGAAGTTGAAGGGGGCAAGGCCATGGAGGGCCTTGTAAGTGAGAACGAGGATCTTGAATTCTATCCCCTGAGGGATGGGGAGCCAGTGGAGCCGGGCGAGGGTGAGGGTGACGGGGTCACGGAGCCTGGTACAGTAGAGAAAATAATCTGCAGAGTTCTAAATGATCTGCAGCTTTTGGAGGGAAGAGTTGGGGAGGCTGACGAGGGAGTTTCCATTGTCGAGCCTTGCTTCCGTCGTCGAGCCTTGTCTTGCTATCATTTGCTGAAAAGTCAATTTAGTAATAAATTAAATGCTCAACTTTCCCAATTTTCTTTTGTAGGTTGAGCTTTGAAAACTGTAGAGGGTACTTTTTGTAGGTGATGATTTCTTTCAAACTTCAAACCTTTAAGTGTAACAATTTTTTTCATAGAATTGATAATTGGTCCAAAGGGAGACAAAGGCAATATGGGAACCTCTGGACCAAAAGGATTCAAAGGTATTCCTGGGATGGTTGGATCAAAGGGCTTCCCAGGCTTGCAAGGTCTACCAGGGCCCAAAGGCATTCAAGGTGACCCTGGGTTACCTGGTTTCCAAGGGATGAAAGGTGACATTGGACTAACTGGCCCTAAAGGTAACCCTGGAGACAATGGAATGATTGGCTTGACCGGACGTAAAGGAATGCCTGGCCAAATGGGACTACCAGGAAGGAAAGGTGATCCTGGATTTATGGGACCACCAGGAGACATGGGAATACAAGGACCTATCGGACCTCCAGGTCCAGATGTTATTTTACTAATATCTGCCTTTTCTGTTAAACTTGAGAAAAGTTTCCCACCATGTGGCCTACCAATTCTATTTACTGAGGTGTTGTACAATGAGCAAGGGGATTACAATGTTGGAACTGGTCTGTTCACATGTCGGATACCTGGCGTCTATTACTTTTCACTTTACTGTGAAGTCTACTCCACCAATGCATACATTGAAATAATGGTAAACAACAGACCTGTCGTCAAAAGCTTCCAGACATACGACAAACATTACGAAATGTTGGCAGCAGGTATCATAGTTAAGTTATCAGCAGGTGATACAGTTTGTGCCATGGCTAAAGATAACTTCAATGGTATAACAGCACAGAGTATATTCAATGGATTACTGATCATGGGATGTTAATATCTATGCATTATTCTGAGACACAAATGCTCGGTTTCTTGTGTATCTAATTCTAATAATAATCATCCCTGTGATCTTCATTTAAATCTTTATCCTTCTGTGCAATTTATCATCCATTTTAGGACCAATTGAACCTTAATTGAAGGCATAGTGTGTTTGGAATGATAAAAATGCAAATTGTGTTTTACCTGCTGAATTATTGATGGACTCTAAAAGGTGAGCACAGGATATGAAGACAGGACAGATATGATTGAAGTATAATCATACCATTACCATTCACAAACACTTTCGTATCAAGCTTGTAGAATATGGTTGGGATTCTTGTGTATTTGGTCCAGAAATAATCATTTCATATTTCAATAAGCACAATTACATTTTATTATTTCAACAGTCTTAGAACTAAATTAATGTATTGTCTGGGTTTTTTCCAGCAGCTTTTAGTTAATTCAATGGGAGCTCCTAAACTAATATAATTTGTAGGTGGTATGATATTAATCTGATTGGAGCGCTCTGAATAACTAGTTGTGACACTATGTGTTGCACTCAGGTGACTGAACGCAATATCAACAGATGAAAAATTAATTTAAGCTTTAACTGTTCATTAACTGTTGTAAGCGCTAAAGATCAGCCTTCCTACTTTCATGTAACATCCAACAACACCATCTTTCAAAGTAACAGATTATTCTGATCAGGTTAAAGCGTGAGTTTGGTTAACAAACCAATACTTATTCGACAATAGGAAAGATGAGGGTTCTCTCTCATTTGGTTTAATTGTTACCATAGGTTTATTGCCCATTGTTATATATGTTCTGCTATAGCCAACATCCCAATATCCCATCAGAGACAACAACAGGCATCCAATCCAACCTCTGGGACAGCCAATCACAATTCTTCCTCCAGCTGCTCTGTCCATAATCAAAGCAGTTAAGGAACTGATGTACGGTCTAGATTTGCAGCATGACAAACACCTTCCCAGCACCTTCACAAGACTTTACAACCCAGACTGATACTGCAGTTCCTGCCCCTCACTCTGTAGGACCCCACTGGCTGGTGGTTGCTATAGATGCCTGGAGGCAGATATTGTTCAGTTTTACTGGTAACACATTTTGTGTAAAAGGTAAAAATATCATTTTGTGTAAAAGGTAAAAAAAAACAACTCCTTCATTTCTGTGCATGTAGTTTCTTGAGTTAGAACATCTCACCTTTGAAATATTGATTTAGGGACCATTAAAAATATAAGTATAACTGTTTTGATTTATGCTATTTGTTAATTAGATGTGTTTTGTAGTTTTAACATTCAGAATGTTATGAGCAGTTGTAAAGAATGTTAATCCAGCAAAATATCAGCCAATTGGATTAATTGGGCTGGAAACAGATTGCCAGAACTGTCCTTTTCTAAGTATATGTTTCTGTGAAAACTCAATTTTATGAAAATTTTTAAAGATACACAATAAAAAATATTGCACCCTGACGTGATATAATCCTGCTCTCGAATGTGATTTATACACAAGATGTTCAATAGATCAGGAATTCTGGTGCTCCTCGGGTTGATCAGAATTTTCCAATTTTTACACAACTCCTGGAGCATGGCTAGTTTTCCCAGCTCCTGATCTCCCGAAGCCCAGCGTGGTGAACAGTTTCCACAGCAATCTGACCCCATGATGAAATTGGAGGAAAGTCTGAGTGAGCTGATCCACTATTATTCTGGACATACATAGAACCATGGAAATTTACAGCACAGCAGAAAGCCATTTGGGCCATTGTGTCTGTCCCAGCTACTGTAAGAGCAATCCTTTCAATCTATTCAGTCATGTCCAAAAGGCAAACAGTTTGGACTTCTTTTCCATATAATACATTGACATGAAGAGACTTAGGAATCATTGTACTACTTGTGCTGGGACATCAAGATTTGTTTTATGATCTTCACTTGCCAAAAGAGAATAGGAAGAAAGTTGTCTGATTTTGACATGTTCTTGTATCTGAAGAGGAGCTGATCCTCAAAAAAAACTCTGATGGTGGTTCACACATTTCATTTGCCACAGGCAGTCTCTTCAGGTTGGCTCATGTTTTATGCTACCTTTTGGGTTTCTGGAACCACAAAGTAAAAGTGTTATTAGAAATTATATCAGGTAGGATTAAGAACAAAATTCAGCTGGAAGGACAGTTATAACACAGCCCAGGTCTTGGTTTTCAGGAAGTCTCGAGCATGGACTCAATTCCGGGACTTGTACAGCTCTAAATCGTAGGTAGAAAACTGCATTTCATCACCACCATGTTATAGAGATCAATAACAATTTTACTTTTATATAGTGCCTTTATGTCAGGCGGTTGCCTCAAAATGCTTCACAGAGCTGTCTGGGAGCCTGAGCTGGGGTGGTGGGAGCTGAAGAAGGGGGAGTTGTATGGAAACAGAAAACACCATTGCAATCCCAAACTAAACAAAACCCTGCATTGTCTCATGCCCCTAAGTCGACTTCCTTGTCAATCGCTATCAAAATTCCATATCCGCACAATCTGCCTCCATCGCCTCCTTGAACTCGACCATTCTAGATATTAACTGTTCTAGTCTAAAGCAAGTAAATCTGAACTATTATTTTTACATTCTCTCTTCTTAACTTCTGTGTTTGCCTAAAAATACAGTCACTAAAAGTTGCAGTAAATCCTGTGAAGCACTTTGAGACATTCTCCTGACATGAAGGAGTCCTTTCATATTATTATGAAAAGTGCTATATGAAATGCAATGATTACTTTTATAATTTCTCCCTTCTCATAAAGAAGAGAATAGCCACCTGAAATGAAAGGTAACACTGATGGAGTAGGGGCGCTCTTGTGAAGTTGTAATTAATAATAATAATAAATAATAATAATCCTTGCATTTGATATAGCGCTTTTCACGTCAGGAGGACGTCCCAAAGCGCTTCACAGAATATACTGTAAAGTGAATTGACTGTATATTTGTGGGCGAACGCGGCAGCCAATTGCGCACAGCAATGTCCCACAAACAGTCGTAGATTGAAAACGACCAATTTATTATTGTTTTTGGTTTTGGAGGGATTATTATTCGGCTCTGTGTGGAGTAAGGAAACTTGCCCAAGGTTTCGCCCTCTGCCTGGAATTGAACTCAGGTCTCTCACTTGCAAAGCGAGTGCTCTAACCACTGAGCTACAGGACTCCACTAATTGCGGCACAGCAGAGAGAACGTTACACTTTACTTAGGACTCAACCTCGTTTCTCTAATTTAGAGATCACGTGTGGCCCTGGGTGGTGGTAAAATAGAAACATTTTAATTCTGTGTTGTGATCAGAAATAGATTATTGTTTAAAATATTGTTTTATTTCATTAGGAATGCTTATGCTTGTTAGCTAGTGTCAAGCTGACCTGTGGAATGCCAATCTTGATTATAAATTGGTTGTTTTGACAGAGCGAAGGTTGCTTTTGGTTGTTAATCAGTACCAATAAACCTATAAGCCTAATGAAATTGAGTTGAATTGTAGAATTTATATCTAAGCGTGACTTATGTTACAGGATAGTTGGTATAACTGGATAAAATGTTATGGGAAAATGTCAGTATGATGCTGGAACAGAGGGCCAGTCCTGTGAAAACCGGAATTATTGGGTGGGAATGCAACTGGCGTCTCTCTGGCACCCACCCACACCTCCCCAGCAAGGCACACCGCATAGTTTGGGAACTTCTGTCTACGTGATGAAGAACTGGTCTCGCAAGATGGTTAAGTTGAAGAGCAACAACCTTGCCCTTAAGTGTTTGAAAAGAACAAACATGCCTCAAGCATTAGTTTTCGTTCTGCCCCAGAACTCTTTGTAATTAACACTCAAAATGAGCAAGATGGAATTTCAGTAAATGTCAACCTCAGGCTAAAACTAAACCGATTCCATAGCTTTTCTAAATTGAACATTAAATGATTGGAGTTTTTCATCCACTGGGGATTTGGGTAACTCTGAGCTCGCTTCTCTAATTCCATTCTCCTCCTCTTTCAGTACTTGGGTCACTTCCCCCACTGGAACTACTGTATCTGTCAGGAAGTTTATATTGGCTGTAGTTGTACTCATCAACAACAACAAGATTCCATTTATAGTGGGTGCATTCAACTCAGTAATAATGGGCCTGTTTGGCAACCCCACCTGCGCCCTTTTATCTGGAAACTTTGACAAAACTGTAAATGTCATAGGGGTCACTGTTATCTACAATACCTGTATAATGCTGAAAGCCATCATACAGCTTCTTCTCACGAGAGGTGCACTTTCAGATGAGGAAGGGTTCAGGAAAGTCCTACAGAGTCAGTCCTGTACCTTGCAGATCTCTAATCTACGGAGATAATCAGCAAACTGAACTCGGGTGTAACAGTAATGTGCTGACAGAGAGCTCTGTGGGATTTCTAATATTGGGCAGAAATATGGAGAGTGGCTTTCAACCTCAGAAATGTCAAGAAGAGTCAGCATTATTACATGCCTTATAAGAAAATAATAATCCTTGCATTTGACACAGCGCCTTATCACAGCTTCGGGACGTCTCAAAGCACTTCACAGAATATACTGTGAAGTGAGTTGGCTGTATATTTTGTGGGCGAAATGCAGCAGTCAATTGCACACAGCGGCATCCCCACAAACAGTCGTGGATTGAGTGACCAATTTATCATTATTAATTTTTTTTTAAGGAATTATTACAACAACAAAATTACATTTGTATAGCACCTTTCACAATGGGAGGACATCCCAAGGTGCTGCACAATCAGTGTTTCGGACCCGAGTTGGGGTTCGGGATTGGGGAGGGTGGAGAGTAGGTGGGGAAGGAGGGTGACTGAAGGCACGGTCGAAGAGGAGGGTCTTGAGAGGGTTTTGGGTCTTGAAGGAGGCAAGGGAGGGGGTGAGGCAGAGGGACTGCATGATGGAGTTCCAGAGGGTGGGAGCAGAGTGGCAGAAGGCTCGCCCCCCCAGTGGTGGAGCGGGCAAGGCGGGGGACATGAAGCAGGCCGGAGCCCGCTGAGCAGCAGGAGCGGGTAGGTTGGTAGGGGGTTAGAAGATTGCAGAGGTAGGGGGGAGCAAAGCCATGGAGGACTTTAAAGGTGAGAACCAGGATCTTAAACTGTATCCTCTGTGATGGAAAGCCAGTGGAGTCGGGCGAGGATGGGGGTGATAGGAAAAGCCAATCGACTTACAACTGGGTTCCTACTTACTACTAGTTAAGCAGAGGCGTATTGAGTAAGAAAACTTGCCCAACGTTTCACCCTGCCCGGGAATCAAACCCAGGTCTCTTACTAGCGAGGCGAGTGCTCCAACCACTGAGCTACAGGACTCCACATGTCAAAGAACGCTTCGTAAGTAATTACTGCCTAGTCTAGTAACTGCTATTTTGTAGGAAAAGGCGAAGTAACCAATTTGCCTGGGGAATTGTTGACCAAGTCAAACTCCCTTCTCTTTTCCAACGGTGTCTTTGGATCTTAAGGGGTTGAAATTCTGTTACATGAACACAGCTGCAGTAAAGGGTTCTGGACGGTGATGCCGGGAACATTTTAAGTGCCAAAACGCAATTTAATACGTTAAACGCAATAACATCGTGGTTTGGAAGTATCGGACTCTGGAAGTTCCCAAAGTGGCAGCAGTACCTCAGTCAATCAGTAGCTGTTTTGAGCTCAAAGTACTGGGGCCTGATTAATATGCCGGAAATGCTCGGCTGTATATAAACGCTTGTTTCACTGGGAAACCCCAACAACAAAATGGATTATGTTTGTGTGGCGATTGAGGCCAAGGAGGTCGGGGGTCAGTACTTCTTTCGTGTAGGACATATGGTGAGAGAAATGGAAAGAGGGAGACAAATTCAGCAGGCGATGGGTGTACACGTGCAGGCCCACTGTGTATGATACATTCATCCAAGAGTGAAAGGCGCTATACAAATGTAATCGTGTTATTGTTGTTGTATTATTGGTGATTGGATTTACCGCTTTCACATCAGAAGGTTGTTTCAAAGTGCTTCAGAAGATTTCATTGAGAGTATATTTTGTAGATAAACCCAGCAGCCAATTGTGCAAAGTCATGACGTACAAACAACAACAACATTACATTTGTATAGCGCCTTTTACGTCGGGAGGACTTCCCAAGGCGCTGTACAGTGACATCATTTCAGACCCAAGCTGGGGTCAGGGGGAAAGAAGGGAGGGAAGAGGAAGGGGGGTGGCTGATGGCATGGTCGAAGAGGAGGGTATTGAGGCGGGATTTGAAGGAGGTTAAGAAGGGGGCGAGGCAGAGTGATTGGGGGATGGAATTCCAGAGATTGGGGGCAAAGTGACTGAAGGCTCTTCCGCCAATGGTGGGGCGGATGGGTCGGGGTACGGGAAGCAGTTCAGAGCCGGCTGAGCGGAGGGAGCGGGTGGGTTGATAGGGGTTAGGAGGTCACAGAGTTAGGGCGGGGCGAGGCCGTGGAGAGCTTTGTAGGGGAGGACCACGATCTTGAACTGG